TGCGAAATTATATCCAACAGATAATAGCATAGTGACTCTCACAGCTGCTCGAGGAACGATTGGTTATGTAGCTCCAGAGTTGATTAGCAGAAGCATTGGAACAATCTCTTACAAAGCTGATGTTTACAGCTTTGGAATGCTGCTAATGGAAATGCTGGACTTGAAAAGACATGAAGTTGCAAATGAAGAGAATTCCAGCCAATATTTTCCTTATTATATTTACGATAAGTTCAACAAGGGGAAGGAGATTGTGGTGGATGAAGAAAGCAAATGATGATGAAAAGAAGATGGTTAGAAAGCTGGCTTTAGTTGCGTTATGGTGCATACAAACAAATCCGATACAACGCCCTTCGATGAGTAGAGTATTAGAAATGCTTGAAGGTGAAGTTGAAGTGCTAGAAGTACCTCCTCAGCCTCTTCAATCTCAACCGATTGTTAATCAGATTATGGGAAGTTCTATGACATTTTCGTCTGATTCAATGGCTTTGTTAGAAAATTCTGCTGATAATCCCGTTGAACTAGACATTTGTTCTGATTGACTATAGTTGATGTAATGTTTATGTGAAACAAATATAGCCCACCCAACAATGTTTGGGACAAAGGGTGTTGTTGCTATTGTTGTACTAGTTTAAAAACACACCTCGAAGCTAGCTGACCAAGTGTTCGAATACAATAGCCAAAATGCTCGAGATAACTTAATTTGCCCGTAAAATTTCATCCACATAGCAGCTAACTCATTAATTTTGAGGCGTGTTTAGTTACGTAGTTGGTGATAGTTTAGGTATGAAACACAAACATCTGATAGTTTAGGTAGGAAACTCGCAAAAGTGATACTTTAGGAAACAACTGATAGTTCATGAAAGCTCCTTTAGAGTACAATCAAAAGACTTCATAAATAGTTGTAAAAACAAAAGAAGGTTGACTCATTGTCATATGATGAATCTTGGATTGTTGATTGAAGGGCATGAGGGGATGCTGGTCTATGAATACTTACAACAAAGCCTTGGGCAATTTCAAATTCTCTTAGGACTCGAGACTCCTAGTATATAGACGAAAATCGAAAAATCATCATATATACTTTTATCTAAAATCTACTTTTCTAGCTTTTTAGATGCGATATCATTAATTACTGTTTTATAATCAACTTATTTTAGTAATTCCTTTTCAATTGGTAATATAGCTAATCCATTCATTCTCTTGAGATATTGTTGATTTAGATAAGATTTTATTGCAATTTTAGTTTCGAAAAACTTCTTTCAACTTAATGCATTAGGAAAAGAATCAAGTCTTTTTATTTGATTGAGTATTTCCATTAGATCATTATTTTCTACTTGTATTATTTCTTTTAACACTTTTATTTGAAAAAATAAATCTAAATCATCAATACCAGAATAACTATTATGTGTTAAAGAAAGTTCAATGTTAAGACAATGTTTTTTAAAATAAATTTGGCATGAATTTGATAATTAAGTTGATATAACAATATCGAAATAGTGTTGCGTTCCTTCAATATAATGATTGTTTGTTTGCACTTCTTGGAGTTTTGAAGAAGACATTCAAAAGCAAATTTTATTCTTTTGTAACTTGTAAACAACAGTAAATCAAAAGATTTTGTAGGAGAAAGTTCAACATTGAGAATAAAAATAATAAATAAGATGAATATAAGGTAAATAATAGTATAGGGTCAAATTCTTAGAGATAAATAAGGAAGCACAATTTCCCACACAAGGAAATTATTCCCAAAAAAATGTTCCATTCCGTTAGAAAAGTGGAAAAACTAGTAACATTTTTTTTACTTCTTACACATTTTTTTTAAATTTAAAAGTATATATAATTTTTTTAAATAATATGTATAAGTACTTTTTTTAAAAAAATTTGCCCCAAGCGATGACTTTAGTGGCCTAGTGGTTAAGACGATCTTGTTGTTGTCGTATGGAGGCTAAGACAAATTTCTTAAACACACTAGCTCAGTAAGGAAATATTTCATTTTAGTTAAAACTTAAAAGGTTACCCTTCATTTGATCTTTTACATGCTAAGCAATAATTATTACCACTCTCTGGACTCTAATACCATGCTTAGGTAGTTTAGAATTCGAGTAACGGGAAGGATGCTATTGAATTCATGTTTAAATTAATTTAATTTTGAAATTTCGTCGAGTTTAATATAACAAGCCTAGATTGAGAATTGGTTCAATCGCAATTATTACAACTTACCTCTTTCATTTATTACTTGTTTGACAATTTTTTAAGATTTTGTTTGATCTGCCTAAGCAGATTATAATAGATTTATATCGGATAGAAGTTAGAACCAATAACGTCAGTTACGATTCATAAGTTAACTTTTCCTAGAGGGGCAGGAATGACTTTGGCGTCTGAAGTATGTATTAAAGACCTGATTATCTCTCAAATAAATCTTTAAACTAAGACTTCAATAAAGATATACTATTACAGAAGCCTTGGAAGATGAAACTTTGAAAATCTGGAGTAAACTTAACAAGATGATATTGAACTCATTTTTTTTAGAGGAAAAAAATATTTATGGAGAAGATTTGCAAGAATTAAATTGTGACATCATCTTTCAGTTAATGTTTGTTACTTTTTTTTCCTTCCTCTAAAGTTAAAAGGGTTGGGAAGCTCATTTGTTTTCATCTTTTTCTCTAGCGCTTTGCTATACCTTCATATATATTTTCCACCAATGTCTTCCTTGCTTTCTTGTGTATTCGCTCTCTGTTATCTCCTTATCTCCATAGCCTCATTCACAAGTTATGGTGCTGCTCAGGATACTTTATTACAAAATCAATTCCTAATCAATGGCATGACATTAATTAGTTTCGTCTGGACAAATATTTGAATTAGGATTTGTTTGTTATTTTCAATACCTGTATGCAAAATGTACCTGGGATTATGGTTGTTTTTCTCGAAAAATATAAATAAAAGGAAAAATGACTAAGTTTCAAAAAATCGATTCAACTTATGATTTAAGAGAAATTGAATTTCCAAAAGAACAGAGTCGCCACTTAAGCCGAGAAGGTGTTAGGCCCTCGGAATGTCCGCTAACTTGCGGTTGATCGGCGATTTGACTAAAAAGACTTTGACTAATTTTTTTAAATTTTAGTTAAGAAAAGAACTCATTTATTTTTTTATTTTATTTTTTATTACATTTTTAATTATCTTAAGGGGAGATGAACTAAAAGGGAAATTTCTAAAGGGGAATAGTTCAAATGACAAGACTAAATAAAAAATATAGAACTATAAATATTTTTAATTTAAATATGATAAAAGGTTGAAATGGCTATCTATGGGGATTTAATTAAATTAAACCATAATCAAATAAATGATTAGTCAACATAATAAACAAATAAAGAGCAAAGGAGAAAATATATCAAATTTGGGCTTTTGGCCCAACTTTAGGAACCTGTCCTAATACTAAAAATTCCCAACATGATCTTGGGCCCGTTCTCTTGGACCTGAACCTGTTAAAGCAAAAATTTTGGGCTGCTGCACTTGGGGATTTTGGGCTTTTACCCCCTTTCTCTTACTGTATCAACTGTATACAGTAAATGTATATCAAAGTATACAAGCTCATATAAACTTTGTTCCTGTATAACAACTTCCAATTGTGTTTCAGCTTCCAAAACTCGAACAATCAATGATGAAGGCCGTCTCGGTAAAGGAGAACACAAGTTGGATTTTATCCCGACTCGAAATGCAAATGATAGGAAGAGTTCACATGAACTCATTGCAAGTGACACATACAAAAGAAAGATAAAATCATATTAGCATAGGACAATACTGTTCTAACACATTTTATTCTAAAAAATGAACACTATTAAGATTACTAAACTCAACCCGACAATCATTTATCAATAAAAATATTATGGACTAATCAAATAACCCAAATGACTTTGAAATTACACTTTACTAGGTACGGTGAGAAGAGGGACAAATATATTGCTTTAATACATACTCACAAATACTATTTAACCTTAAGAGAGAACAAACTATACATATGTCACTCAAACAAAGAACACAAACCACGAACATATTCTAGCTTCATGGATTCTCAAGTTTCATGTATATATCCCTAAATTAATATGTAATTAAACTAACTGTGAGGAATATGGACACAATATGAACCAACAAAGCATAAAATCATAGAAGATAGAAGCTAAGCAATGTATTACATCCAACGAAGGTTTGAATCAAATCCACTAGGAAGAGAACTCGACGAAACCTTAACTAAGCTCAAAAATCATCAAAGAAGATATAATGAAAAAAAATAAAAAGCCCTACAACACCAAAATATTCAAACAATAAACAATCTTAGATTAAACAGGGAAGATTTGATCCGAACATAGCTTAAACTAGATCAATAACACAAAAAGATATTTTATTAGCAAGAGGAGTGACACTCAGCTATATTCAAATGCTAAAACAAAAAACTCAATATCACCACTAAGAAAATCAGAAAACCAACAGCAACAACATGATCACAAAATTAAAAGAAAAAGAAAGAGATTACTTTTTCCAGGGCAGCGATCTAAGACCAACGAGCAAGAGAGGACGATTCCACCACCAAAAAATGTGATTCCAAAAATTTCGACGAAACGAGCAGAGGTGAATGAGGAAGGGACTAAGTAAAATCTGGATTTTTTAAGTCTCTTTCGAAACCTATTTCTAAGTATGTATATGGCGGTGTGTGACTAGTAATTTGTTGTATTTTTTGTCTCTAATGTAGACTCTTTTTCCAACCTTTTCCCATGAATAAGGGGAGAGTATTTATACTGGAAAATTAGGGTTGTTTTGGGGGGGGGGGGGGGGAATCGGATGAAATTTTGATGGAATTTTAAATTCAAAATTCAAAATTCAAAATTTTGGGAGGATAAGGCTGCTGACTCGAATGAGTACAAATTTCCAACGGATTTTGAAGATAGCCATCCGATTTGGTGCAAGGATGAAATCGAAATGAGATTACGACACCTGGAAAATTCTTCAAACGGATGAGGATAAGGAAGAGAGGGAGACAGACGTGCGAGCTGGGCTCGGGTCTGGGCTGCGATTCGCTGGATCGCTGGACTGGTCCATTTTATGGGTTTGTTGTTCTTCACTTGTTTCACCAGGAAGAAGACGCAGGGGTGGGGTCGGGTTAAAGGACGGTGGGCTGGTGGGAATATTGTATTGTTGTTGATGGGTATTTGGTATGTTGGGCTGGGAATCTTTGATAAGTTGGATTGTTGTACGTATTGTTGGTTGGGAAATAAAATGGAATGAGGAGAAATGGACAGATGGGCTGAGCAGATTGAAATTATGGGCTGCTGGAAATTAGAAGTAGGGTCCAAAACTTTAGTCTTTTGATATGGCCAAGTGAATTACTAATTTGGTCAAATTGAATAGTAATTGACCAATTGAGATTACAAACTTAGTCAAATTTAACTCATTTGCAAAATTCGGTTAAACATAAATAAGATGAATTAGTATAATTGTGGTGCATTGCTAGGACTAGACACAGAAGGAGACATTTTTCTCCAAGATATACTGGGAACAACGTATGGATTCATAAGCCCAACAGTACAGTTCCCTTACCAGTACTGAAGCTCCTTGATTCAGGTAATCTTGTGTTTGGAGATTCTAGCAATCTGACGGCTGGAGAGTACCTGTGGCAAAGCTTTGACCACCTAGTTGACACATTATTACCAGGAATGAAGCTTGGCTGGGACAAGAAAACTGGCATCGACCGATCCATGAGGTCCTGGAGGACAGAAGGTGATCCAACTCCAGGTGATTATTTGTTCAGGTTAGACTCAGGTGACTCAGGTCAGTTACCCCAACTAGTTCTTGAGAAAAACCAGCGAATACATTCAAGATGGGGTCCTTGGGATGGACAGATCTAGAAATTCAGTGGCGGTTATGCCCTTATGGATAACCATGCATTCATACCAATATTTCATTCCGATACAAATGCATTTTTTTTCACATTCAAAGCCAAGAACGATTGGAGTTTGAAACTTTCACTGAATCCAGATGGAAAATACAATTCTTGAGGTGGAATAATGCTACCAATTACTAGGAGGAAGTGAATACACTGAATAAGGACACATGTGACCAGTATAGCATTTGTGGGCCTTATGGAGTTTGTAATGATGGAGATCTCCCCTGCGGGTGTCCTGATGGTTTCACAGCTGCATCACCAGATGCATGGGGCATGATGAATTTTACGGAGGGATGTAGGAGAAACATCTCACTTAACTACACCAATAAAGACGTCTTTGTAGAGAATATTGGACTGAAGTTGCCTGATAATGCTACTTACTGGGGAATGTTGTACCACCAGGAGTGTGAACAGAAGTGCTTAAATGAAAGATCGTGTATGACTTATACTAACATCAATATCAACGGAAATTGAAGCAAATGTGTTATTTGGTTGGGAAATTTACTTGATATGAGACATTCACAAATAGCTGGGAACAACATTTTTATACGAATGGCACCTGAAAAACTAGGTAAAAATGATTGCTTGCTTTAACTGATTTAATTCCTAGATTATATTATTAATATGGTGCAAAACAATGTGTGCAAGAATGACATTTGAAAGGTGAAGTAGTTAATTGTTGTGTAGGTTTGATTATTTACACAGAAACATCAATTAATAGAATTCCCATATTAGTGCTTGATTAAGTGGTTCATCGCAGATTGATGTTTGAAGTATTAGATTGAATGTTGTCACATAATTGCTACACAATCGAGCATAAGATGAAACAACCCTGCATGCATCTAGTTATTCTCATTGCAAAGTCTTTAACATAATGAGCAAATACCTCTAGAAATTCGTATAAAGTTTATGTCAAATCTGAAGCCTAATTTTATGAGTAAGAAACAACTAACACTTTTAACTTTCTTATGGACAGATGCACCTGTTTCCGACAGCAGATGGAAACATGAATGGACAGTTTTTGCTTCTTTAATCTCAGAGCTGGCACTACTTATTATTTTGCTTATAGTTGTTGTGGTTCTATGTCAAAAAATGAGGACAAAGGTGCTAGGTAAAAAGAATCACCTTGCGCTGCTATTATATTATTTTCATAGTTCTTCATTACAGACTAAGCTTAGTTTCACTAGAACACTATTATTTAGCAAACACAAGACCTAAGTACGAAAGCTAGCCTAATACTCATATTAAGGTATGATTCACATCCATTATTTTCTGATTAATTTGCTTTCTCATAGCAGATGAACAAGAAATCAATCAGCTGACAAATTCTCAAGGAGCTTTGCTGCAAGGCAATAATGTCATTGCATATGATTCCAGTGATCTAGCTATAGCCACTAACAATTTCTCGCTGGTCAATAAGATAGGGCATGGTGGCTTTGACAATGTTTATAAGGTTATTATTTCTTTTCGACAAGCATGAAAATGCATATTTATAGTAACTCAGACAACAGAATTAATACCTAAATGATACATTTGTAGGGTGTACTAGAGAATGGAGTAGAAATAGCAGTGAAGAAGCAGAACGTGACTTCACGTCAAGGATTTATTGAGTTCGAGAATGAAGTCAAGTTAATAGCAAAGCTACAACATCATGACCTAGCCAAATTGTTGGGATACTGCATTAATGGAATAGAAAAATTCCTAGTCTATGAGTTCTTAAATAATATTTTTCTTTTTGTATTATTGTCTGTGTTGTTTTGATATTTGAAATTCCACAAAAGACAGAAATTTAGGAGTATTCGAGTGAAATTGAGTAACTGTTTTTTGTACATGTCTAGATCCTGCAAAAAGGGGTACAGTAACATGGCCAATGCGCTTTAACATTATCAAAGGAATCGCAAAAGGATTAGTTTACATACATCATGACTCAAGGTTGACAATAATCCACCGGGACTTAAAAGCTAGCAATGTCTTTCTAGACAGAGAGATGACACCCAAGATATCTGACTTAGGGTTGTCAAGGGTATTCGAAGATGATGTTGAAGAAAAGACTCAGCATTTAATTGGAACACGGTTAGTATATTATCATTAAGACTACATGCTTATGTATATTTTAGAGTTTTTACAGATGGTTTTATGTTGTGGCTGTAGTGGTTATATGCCTCCTGAGTACATGAAAAATGGACATTATTCAACAAAATCAGACGTTTTTAGTTTTGGAATCCTGGCATTGGAGATTGTGAATGGCCAAAAGAATTATGATTATCGGCACCCAGTCTATGATATTGGTCTAGTAGACTATGTACGTAAGTACATCATCGATCCCCTGGTTATCGTCATTACTTCACTTAAATTGGTTACATAGAAGTTTCACCTTGTGCTAAAACAATTTACATGATTGATGATCGATCTATTGTTGGTCAGGCAAGCAGAATTTGGAGTAAGGGGAATGCCATAGAACTACTGGATCCAATGATTGAAAAACCAGGTGATGAGAATGAAGTTTTAGGATGCATCCTTGTTGGGCTCTTGTGTTGTCAACGCCGTGCCCAAGACAGGCCTTCAATGATTCAGGTGGTTTCCTTACTGGAGGAGAATGAAATGTCAAGGTTAAATTTTGTGCCTCAGGAACCTTTATACTCCAAGGAGTTGAGTCGCGGTGCAGGAGTTGAAACAGCATGAATGATGTAACTATTACTGAATTTACCG